ATTGTTCTATTCTAACTAATAGCCACGTTTCAATAATATTTAATATTGAAAAAATACCAGCGAAATAAAACAACAAAAATCAATAACCTTAAATATTTATTATAAAGAAAAATCTATGGTAAAAAGCATCCGCAATGTTCAGTTCTATTAGACGTATTTTTGCAAAATGTCACATTTTGTCACGCATATTTTTTTGTCGACAGAGATTTAAAAGTTTCTGTAAAACAAAAATTATGTTTAAATTAAGATATTTTAAAAGCAATATTAATTAATTTTTTTAATTACAATATTAACGTATATCTAACAACTCCGAAGCGATTTCTGAAAAAAGTCCGAAATAAGGTACGAATTGGTAGATGGAACGCTAATGGTGCTCTAAGTAGAAAGCAAAGTATATCTACTAATAAGTAATTCAACTCGTTCCATTCCGTTAGTTTTCGTTTGCATCTTGCTTCCAAATTCTTTCCATTTTTTCCATTTATTTCATTTTTTTTTAGAAATAGATGGTAATAAGAGTTGTGTAGGTAAGAAAGAAACAAAATATTGTAAACAAACGAGTGTATCAAAAACATTAAACTAAAATAAAATTAAATTAAGTTAGGTAAAAATTTTGTTATTTTTATTTTGATAATAACAAAATATATTTTTCATTTTATAAAATTTAGGTAAAAAATTCGAATGTATGAAAGCAAAAGAGTTTGAAATTTTATGTATGAATGTACACATGCGTGTACCTGGTGCAGTAGATTCACAGTATCAGGTAGTGACATAGAAGTAAAGTAATTTATAAAGAAAAAAAGGTGTATGCGTACTGATTAATACTTTATCAAATATAATCATTACCGATTCATAGGAAATATGTTTTAAATTTATTAAGATTGAAATGAAAATAAAAAATTTAAAAATAATTTATTTATTTTATTTATTAATAATAATTATTAATTACAAATGCTTAACACTAAAAACTTAAAATATTTTCAAAAGTACATATTTACCTCTCCACATCTTATGGCAACAAATGAAATTTTCGTGTCGGCTTTTTTGCCTCACACACAACATTACATCCCAAACACTTCAAATAATGTTTCCCCATTATTATAAAAAAATTTTTTTTTTCACAACTACTTAAAATTTATTAATAAATATTATACGTCTTTTGAAAATATATTGTTATTATTTTTCATATAAATTATAATAATTTTTTTTAAACACTTTTTTTCCGCTTCGCTTTTATAATATGAATACACCTTTTTGCCACCTTGTACTAGAATTACAGAAATTATTGTGTCGCTTTTAAAATTCTTAATATTTTTCCCTATACTTTATATATAAGGACAAATAATAAAGTGTCGCCTTTCAAAATTACATTATAAAAAAAGAGGTAGACATCTATTGCGTACTCTTTCCCTCTCCCAAAAATTCTTATGTGTATAAAAATGAAAATAAGAAGGTATACTGCTTAACTCTTTTAACTAAGGGAATTTTTTGTATACAAATATTGGTGAGTGATTGCATTAGTGTGATGTAAGCGGAGAGTCGAACTACTTAATAGTAGATATACTTTGGTAGAAAGCACGTATTGGAAGGTTTTCCTAGAGCTAAAATACCAATGTATGTATGTCTGTTGTCAGAAACTTGGTGAAGGCTTAGGATGTGTTGGGGTATAGATGCTATAGCTCCTTGGTAACAATTCAAAAGATAGTAGTACTTTTTCGATAAAGGAAACAATAAAATAGTATGAAGAATTCAAAATAGAGACGGAGAGAGATCAACTTGTTATGGATAAAATTGAGTCTACCAAGCAGAACTTTAATGTTGGTTCAGTAAGAGTATTGTCCACCAAGATGTAACACAAAGAAAGATATTTTCACCTTAATTATTGGGCAAAGAATTAAGGAAAGCTATTTGGAAGTATTGGGATGTGTCTATCATTCTACTGGCGGTTCGACTTCCTGGCGTACTGATGTCAAAGAATCCTGGATTTAACTGATTTTTCTAATTTAGAAGGATTACAGGGAATTTTTTGAATTTGGAAGATCACTTTAATTTGAATTCCGATCACTCTGCTGCTATTTTACCGCATACTGAGAAAATAGCTAACAAACGTAGCGGACTCACTTTAGTCAGCAGAACCACGGAGTGGGTATGCTACAAACCCACTCCGTGGTTCAGCTGAACTGCTGAACAGGTGGCCTACTATGTAGTGCTACTTTCGCTAAACGATTCTTGCATTTTAAATTTTGACAACATGTAAATCGAATATCGCAAATTTGCGTCTGCGAAAGTAGCAAAAGTGGTACTACAGAATGCTGCTTTCGCATACTTTTCATTCACTTGCCATTTGGTTTACCCATCTTATTGTGAAAATTTAAGTTTTTGATAAAATAAGACTAAACAATGTGTTATATTCATTTTGCTTTATTAAATTAAAAAAACTCTGCATTTCAAATTTACTACAATTACCTAAATTTTAAAATTAATAATTATAGGTCAAAATAAAATACAAAACCATTCCGGTTTAAGAAAATAAAACTTAACTTGTGCTTACTAACCTTAAACTTAAATTTGTTTCGCTTCTCTTTGAACTTTTCATCTATAGGCTTAGAAACTTCGGTTATAAGTAAAATGGTTTGCTGAGCAAGAATAATAATTAAATCTTAATCTGTATAAAGATCTTTTGCTGTCCATATTTGTTTAAAAAATTAAAAACAATCGCCTCCATAATATTATACATACATTCAAATGTATGATTTTTTTAAATAATTCAGATGCTTACTTTAAAAAAAAACTGTCAGAAATCTCAAAAACAAAAAATTTTACAAAATGCTGCCAGTTTAAATTTTTTACGATGCGATTTTGTTACATAGTAGCAAACCACTTGCGAATCGCAAATCAACTTACGCAAATTTGCGACTTTCGATATAGGTCCAGGTCCTCAAGTCGAAGGTTTTATTAGTTTGATACAGAAGCAGCCTGAAAAAATACAAGGTTTTCTGAATTTCAACCTGTATCAAGTAATTATCCTAAGGCTATTACTGATTTAATAGTACAAAAAATAAGAGATAGAAGTAAGGGCCATAAGTCGCGTCACCCAGGCAGTAAAACGATTGTGAGTAGAGCTCCTAAACAAGTTAAAAGAAAAAAAGAAAATTATAAATATCATAAGAAAATTATTTAAAGGGCTTATCGGTAACTAAAGAAACAACTATTCGTTTTGAAAAGAGTATTAAGAAACCCATAGAGCAAACCCCTGGGGAAAAAGCTTAATTATATGGTAAATTCTTAAACGTCAAATTTTACAAAATCTGAGTTGTCTGAGTTTACGAATACTCTACTGCGTTTTTATTTTAAGTCAAAGTTTAAATTCTTAAACGTTTAAAAAAAGTCAATTAAGCGTCAAAATTGCAGATTTTTTTTTTACATGCAGACAGTCTGACGTAATAATTCAGTAAATAAATTAGATGTATTGAGTGACTATCATTACGTTAAAAATAATATAAAAAAAATTTTTTTTCTTAATTTTTAATATGTAAGTATAAAATTATTTTAAATCTAAAAAAAATTTTTTTTTGTTTTGACGTTTACGGATGATCAAAATTCAAAGTCAATTACGGGTAAAAAGTTTACTACATTTCTGTCCGTAAGAGTTTTATACGTCAGACAGTTTGCAGACTGAAAACAAAATTTTGGCGTTAAAGAATTTGCGGATATTCTGATCAATTTGGAGGATTTATTCAGCCAAATCAACTAAACTCTAGTGTTTGTTTAGTAGGTGATTTTGTTATGGATAAAAACACTATGGATCTATTTACACAAAAAGAAATTTTCAAAGCAACCAAGTCGCTTAAATTGAATAAGGTCAGAGTTTTGGTTTAATCACTCTTGAAATATCAAAAGTGGCGAGAAAGACAGCAATATTTTTGAAAAAAGTGATAAATGCAGCAGTGAACCTGGGGTATGTTTCTAGTGCTTAAAAAGTAGCGAAGTTATTATGATAGGAAAACCGGAGAAACCCTTGAATGAGGAAAAGTCATATAGACCAATTCCAATACTACCAATGATATCAAAACTTTTTCAAAAATTGTTGCTAACTAGGCTGATACCGATAATAGAAAATAAGAAATTGATTCCAGACCATCAGTTTGGTTTTAGAACAACGCATGCAACTATTGACCAAGTACACAGAATAACAAATATTGATGAAAAGGTGTTAGAAGAAAAGCAAATACGTTCGACAATATTTGCGGACATGGCACAAGCGTTTGATAAGGTTTGGCAAAACGGTTTATTATTTAAACTAAAGAAACTGCTTGTCCTCTTAGGGAACAAGACTTAGGGAAATCAGGAATCACACTTAGAGAATAGGAACTGAGTTGTCAACGTTCTTTGGGTTTCTTTTGGTTTTACGAATCCAATCAGTTTCTTTAGCGAACTCTACCTCATCTGTTTCGTATACGACCATACTTATTTTATCATTTTATCTTTTTCAGTGCTGTTTAAAACTGCATTCTGCTGTCATAATAATCTTAGATTTTCTGTATTGAGTTTGCAGATCACTTCTTCCAACTCCTTAAACACGTTTTCCAAATCACCTATATGCGAATCGATCATAGCTCCACTTTCCTGATGTAACGGTCCTTTACATAACCTTCAGAGGTTTTACTTTTATCGACTTCTCTAAGCGGCTTGATTATTCAGCCAAGCCCTCGTCGACTGCCGTGATCTCTGCTGACGCATTTGTAGATATCCCTACACTATTTATATTTTTAATATTAGACATTTCATATTCAGTTATAAGATATAGGGCTAATAACTCAGCCAAGTTTTCCCTACTGCCATTTAAGCAGTCGTTGTTTGAAATATTCATGTTTTAAATTTTTTTGTTAAAATTTGAGTCTTCCAACACACCTACCATGAAAAGAAATGAGTATATATTTGCTACAAACATTTTTTTTTTTCACTTTTCGAAAACACTCAAAAACTAAAAAAAATTACAAAACTCTGTTTTTAAAGAATATCCTCCTTTTATGAAGTTGTTGTACTCAAATAGCAACAAAAAAACATAACAAATAGAGTTGAAATAAAATACTGATTTTGACACTCTGAAAAATTGTGTTGCCATTGCTGATTTCTCATATCATAGTCTCTACGAAACGAATTTTGATCGTTTAAAAGTCTACGTCTTGGTAATTCGTAGAATTCTACGAGGGGAATTCATGATAGGGCTTGTTATAATTATGCTTCAAGTATTCCTTTCACAATTGTTGATTACTGGAAATGTCTATTGATCACTGTTCACACAGATTCAATAATTTTCCCTAATCTCGTAATTGAAAGAATTGGAATTTATTTTAATTTTTCAACGATGTCTTTTTGCACCAAGGCTCCCGTTTTATATTTTGAAGTTGTCTTGCTTCTTCAAATTCTTTTGGATGAATCCTTTTTCGGTGATGGTGCATATTAGAACTATGTGTGAATGTTTTGGGACAATGTGGACAGATATAAAGAGGTTGGCCGGTGTGAACAGCTAAATGCTCCTTAAAAAAGTACTTAATAAGCTTAATAAGCTTAATATTTTGTTAAGTTTTATAAAACTACCTTAAGAACCAACTGTCTTTTAAAGTACCTCCCACATATGTTGCAGTAAAACTTTGCTTTTGCATTATGTGTATATCGAACATGACTTCTGAGTGCTTCTAAATTAGGAAAAGTTTTGTCACAAGAAGAGCATTTCTGTTCCACATTTTGGCTTCTATGATCGTTATTCTTGTGAAGTTGATATGTGTATCTGGATAAAAATTCAGAGTTACATAACTTGCATTGGAGTTTGGCCTTGTCATCACCTTCATGCCGTTCCCAGAGATGCCTTTTAAGATCGGCTTTGCTTTTATATGATTTTCCACAAATGTCACAAATTCCTGCATAGCGCTTCTCATGTTCTATCCTTACATGACAGTCTAAAGTTGCTTTAGATGGAAAAGCTTTTCCACATGATATACATCTGAACTTTCTTTCTTCTTCAGGAATATGAAACAATTCATGTCGAAGCTTTAAATTCTTATTGGTAAAACTTTTTTCACATTGGGAACACTTGAATAAAATGTTATTTTCTACATTTTTATGTATAAATTGTATATGGTCTCTAAGTGTCCACCTAGATGTAAAACTTTTTTCGCACGAACTACACCTGAAATAATTTAAAGCGGTATTTGGTTATATTTATTTTTTTATTTACAAATTTTTTACTTGTAGCTTTCTGGGTTAAGATGTTTCTCAATATGATCCACTAATAAAAACCTTTTAAAATATTTTTTTCCACAACAAACGACAAAACCTTTTTGCTTATGTTCCATAGTGCAATGCTTTTTTAAATTCGAAAAGTTTTTTTGTTCCAAATTGCATACATTGCAATACACTTTGATAATTGAAGCTATTACTTTATCCTCGTCAGAGAGCTTTTTGTTAAATATTGGAACTTTATCATCAGTCTCGCGATTCTGATTGTGTTGTTTAACTTTCTTTGATTTTTGTTTTACTGTAATGTTGTTTCTTTTACATCTTTTAATTTGGTGGTTAATCTTTTTAGCAGAAGCAGAATTCTGGTTTAAGATTTCTTCTTCGTTGTACTTTGAAGTTTTGTTATTTTTAATGGAAATTGTTACTTGGCTTGAACAAATATTGGCACTTCCATCAATTTTATCCGTAAAATCTAAAAAAGGTTTGGTGCAATTCATTTATAATTTCGATTTGAATGACGTTCTTACCTTCTTCTGTAAGGATATTATCAAGATTGCCGAAATGATTGTCAAGTTTATCTTCATACTGAAATTCCTTTGAATTTTCTTCATTTTTAGAAGTCCCGAATTCACTAGCATCTTTTTTGAAGTCCAAGCATTTTTCACTTTTCTGTGCATGTTCCACTTTAATATAAAATTGATTGAAATTATCGATAATTTCCCAACATGTCCAACATAAGATATTTGAAAGCCCATCCTCCAACTTTGGCTGAAAAGGGGTTACTTCATTCCAATTTCCATTATTTCATATACTTACTTCAAACCACAAATATTTTCCAATTAACTGCGCTGCATTTTTTCTTTTACCCTCATCGTTAAATAAATCAAAACCAGTTCCGCATTTACTTAGACATAATCGGCAAATCATATTCTGAACACGATATTGCTGTATACTTGAAACTTCTCCTAAGCTCCTCAGAACTTGGTAATTAATAAAAAATATTGTTAATAAATAAATATAAATGCATGTAAATTCTTAAGAACTTATTTTTAACACACATATGTAAATTAAAATGTTTTCATTGTAATATAATATCACAATCACTACACCAAAAAACAATCTCGCAAAAATATAGCCATAATGGTCTATGGCTATATACTATAGTACTACTTTCGCTAAGCGATTTTCGCATCTAAAATTTTAGTATTAGGTAAATTGAATATCGCAAATTTGTGTATTCGTAAGTAGCAAAAGTGATACTGCAGAATGTTAACTTAGCATATTTTTAATTCGCTTACCTTTTGTTTAGGATTTATGAATCTTATTGCGAGACTTTTCAAAAAATTAAAATAATTACTATAAGTGGTACATTTATTTAATCTTGCTTTATTATATTAACAAAAACTCGCATTTCAAATTTATTGAATTTAATTAAATTTTCGGAATTAATAATTACAATTCGTCGGCTGAGTAATATTTTGATCCATACGCCACTTTCGCAATTTCTGACTTGACCACTTTCATACGTCTTCAAAGATGGTTTTTCAGTACATGCAATCAGTTTTTGGCTATCTCATTTACTTTTGTAGATATGCCGATGTTATTTCGATCACCTGCACTTAAAATTCGATAAATTACATACTTAACTAAACAAAAAATATTTTAAAAACTTGTTGAAAGCATTAGATCGCTTTGTTATTATATTGCAAGGGGTGCTTACAAAACATCGTGCAACATTTGACAAAATTTTACTTTTCTTAAATGTTTGTAAACCTGGAACAAATTTTTATTATTCTCTTTATAAAATACCAATTATTTCAAATATTTGAAAGTTTTTTCAGACAAAATGGATCAACAAATAGTGTCCGCTATAAATCTATCTGCTAATCGAATTTTGTATTTCTAAACAGTGTTGTTAATTTCAACTTGCTTTTCAGTAGCATTTTGTCTTAAAAAAAGTAGTATGGTGAGCTTAGCGTAGTAATTGGGGTTATCATTAACACCAAACAAAAAGTAAGGCATCTGGCTAATATTTTTTTCTGTTGCTTTTTTTTAATGTCAAATTGATCTGGTAAATGTCAATTCATTTTCAAGTGTGTAAAGCGCGAAACTAAACATTAACAATATAAGCTTTTTTTGGAAAATAATTTTGAATTTTAGAAAAACAAAAACTTTACATAAAAAATATTTTTAGATCTCCGCCAAATTTTTTTTGGAAACTATATTTGTATAAAAAATTAAAAACCTTTTGAAAAAATGTGTTATTCATAAACTGACACACGCTTGTCGAATTCATTTTCGTTTGAAATTGATTTCAAATCAAATTTCATTTATGTAAACAATTACATTTTTTCTCAATTTTTGAAATTCTAAGAACAAGTCTGGAATCGAATTTTGCAATGAATTAACTAACAGAAGACAAAATGTAATAAATATGTAATAAGAATATATATGAATTGCAAAGTTGTTGAACGAAGTACATATATTCATTTTTAGTAATATATATTATTAATTTATTTTTATTTTAATGATTATAAATTAACTGGCGTAAATATTGATTACATTTTTAGCTTTGAAAAGACTTTTGTTACGATTTTACGGAATTATATTCAAAACAAATTCAATAAACTTATATATTTAATGTACCCGCTTCCAAAACTTCTCGTTTATAATTCATATTAAAAATGACAACTTTTCATTAATATGAAATTTCAACGTTAGATTACGGCATTTTCATACCAAATGCAAATAATGACATTTTCTGTATAAAGGCAAAAAAGTAGTAAAAATGGCTTGGTGGTAGTATAGTAGTACGGAATGCCAAAATGTTGTAAAATACTACAATTGTAGTAAAATTAACAATACTGTTTCTAAATTCAAAAATTGAGGATTCAAATTTTTTTCTTTGGAATAATTTTAAAAACATCAGATTCGTTTACGATTCGTCATTAATATTACTTGACCGTCATCAGAGTTTATTGACGACACTTAATGTTCTTATGATTAAAGTATTTTTTATCACTTCTTAAAAGTTTCTAAAAAGCTGTTTCACACTGTTTTAAACATTTTTTGAACAGGTATAAATGATTATTATACGTCAGTGTAGCCCTTTTGGTGACAAATTCAAAACATACATAGCCTTCGTGTAACCCTTTCAGTGTAACCCTTTGGGTGACAAATTCAAAACATACATAGCCTTCGTAAAAATATACTTTTGAAAACGCCTGAATATTGCCGTATTTTAATGTCCGAATCTTTTAGAAACAAAAATGTTTCAATCAACCCTTACAGATATGAATTGTAAATTTTTTTTGGCAATCTGACTATAAAATTCTAGCGAACTAGCTGAAGAAAATTTTTGAGACATGTATAAACTATGATTTGGAATTTTGTTTCCGAATGTCCTGGAGTCACACCAATCCCTACCAAATTTCCTGGTGCTACTCAGCTGTCCGGAAATGCCAAGACATATCACTAAAACTTCTAGAATATATCTGAGCCACAATTGGACCCTTAGCTGCAACCCTTCATACACCTTAAAGAGCTTTTTACTTCAAATATTTGAAATTAGTCCTTAGGGTTGTATGGCAGTAATCTGCTAAGCTATTTCATAGAAACGTCTGAGACATATCTGAGCCGCGATTGAACACAAGATTTTTATTAGTTTTATTAATTTTTGAAATATTTAAAATAATGTTGTCATAGAAGTTAACCAAATCCATGGTTCGAATTGTTTCCCTAAAAATAGTAACAGCCCCTGCAAGAACTATAAAAAAAAACAATTTTTGAAAATTAAGTGATGTTTGCTCTTTCTTGGGTAATTGTTCGAAAGAACAAAAGCACTTATCTAAATCAAGGCAGAATGTTAGGCTTAGCGGAAATATATGTATGTATATGTAAATGTCTATACAGCAGAAAACTCTTTCAAGTGATTGCGGACTTCATATAAAATTATTAGTCTATTAAAAACCATTGTTTAAATTCTTTCAATTTAATTTCGATAAATTGGTCAAATGTTTACATTTTACACACATACGTTTTAAATTTAAACTTCTTATTTTCGCGATATAATCACTTTTCTAATAGGTGTGTATGAAAAATAAGGGGACATAAAAAACAAATTTTTTTTTAAGTTTGTGCTATTTTAATCAATATCCTAAAATTTTTGGCCCACGTCATACAAAGTGCACATTTTTGATGAAAAAAGTGGATATGGATCAAAATCGCACTGGACTGTTTCTAATTAACTTGCTATAACTCTCGATCCCTTTCTCAAAATTAAACAAAACTTTATAGTCAAACCCTCAAAACTATAATAAAATTAGTAACAAAAATTTAAGAAATCCCATCGTTTAGTTTTAAAATAAAATGTTGCTAAACTTCAAACGCGATTTTCTTGATTCAAAAGTTATGTCGTACAGATCAAAACAGCACTCAACCGACGAATTATAGGTCGTATAAAATAAAAATATCCCAGTTTACAATAATGGTAAAATTCATGCATTATCCCAAATTTGTTTCGCTTCTCTTTTTTCGACATTGCTCCTTCATAGGTTTATTTTTATGACACTATTTTTTTCTATAGTTTACAAACTTTGGTTGTAATAAATGAAATGGTTTGGTGAACAAGAGCAATATTTAAATCTTAATCTACCTGCCCAAAATTTTCGCCACCCACATTTTTTTAAAAAATTAACAATAAGCGCTTCCTTAATAATATACAAAAATATTAAGATGTTTTGTGCATTATCGGAGTTCATAATTCATTATAGCAGTGTTGCCAATTTTCATTTGCCCAATTTTGTAAAAGAAAACATGAAAAAATAATGTAATTTTTTTTTATCACCAATAAAATTTTTTATTATTGTCTCTTTCCAAACACAAGTTATTATTTTCTTTTTTTATATATAAAATGATTATAAAAAAAAAACAATTTCCCTTTTTTTGTTTCAATTCATATGTTAACAATTTATTGATTAACAAAATTTACTTTTCTTTGAATATGACTTTATATAAACTAAATGTAAAATTTCAAAATAAAATTTAGATGTATATGCTCGATGCGACGGTTTTTCTAATGCTGTTGACCAGATCTGGAATTTTCCATCCTATTTATAGATCCAGAAAAGATTTACCCAAACGGTTGTGCAACGGCGATACAGCTAGCCAGTCCCACTTTTTCGGTTGGTAACGTTTTCCCGTATATAAAATAGATCACTGAACTTAAAAAATACAATGTAATTTTACATACACTGCACCGTGATTTGTTACTGTAATTACTTTATTCTTCTTCTTAGAGTGCCTCTCCATTATGGAGGTTGGTTATCATTGTTTTGACGGTAGATCTTGAACAAACATCTCTAAACAATGTAGTGCTTTATATTATTATATACATTTTTCCGCTTTTCATGTATTTCCATTTCATTCGCTCGTTCTTTTTTATTTCACTTCACCACACTTGACAAATTGATTAAAATGATTTATTTTGATCGATTTTGTCATGCGGCAATGCCGAACCAACTGATCGAAAGCTATTGAACGACCTTTTTTTTTGTCTGCAAAATGTCAATCTTTGATTTTTACAAAATAAACAAAGTGCAATATGGTGTCTGTAGTGTTTTCTTTTTTTTTACTACACAAAAATTTTAAAATTATGGAACAAAAGTTCCATAAAGAAAAAAAAAATTGGTAAAGATTAAAACAAGAGATCACCCATGAAACAAGGACTGACTGTGTTGGACCAAAATACCCAGAACTGAAATGATTGCAAACCTGCAATATATTCAAAAAGGTAAGTTGAAGTTTCCTTTATATATTTGATGAAATATATGGTGTGTGCTTTAATGAGTTTCAATTTTAGGTTCAGATGAAAACTTGCGCAGTTGGATTCCCATTGAATACATCTGTCAGTCATTCTTTGGTTTCTTTTAGGAAATGATCTGTGGCTGAAGATGACAAAACGGTACTTTGTTGTTTTTCTAAAGCTATTCATGTTGTAGTGGTAATCGGTAAGTGAATCATTTCCAATCGACAATGCTTTGAATATAACTGTTTTCCATATTCTAAAGTAGTATCCTTTTAGGTTTTTAGGTTCTAACATCTGTGAGTAGAGAACAAAAAACAGATGGAGGGTTATAG